TTGGGGCAACTCACTGCGGCTCACGCTGAGTTTGTGCGCCGTGTCCGCTGCGGTTGTCGCTGCGTGTCTCCGCGTCTTGTTTTCCCACTGCCGCCGCTGGATGTGCCGCCGACACGCCCCTCATTTCCTCCTCCTCCTCCTTCCCTCTAGAGGCAACTTTAGTTTGCGGCGACGACGGCCCTTTTTTTATTCTCCGCTGCGGCAGAGCAGCGGCAGGCTGTGCGGCGGGCTTTGGACCCGCCCCGTCCCTCTCGCTGCGTGCCTCGTCGGGCGTGCGCTGTGCGGTTTGCCGCAGTTGCTGCTTTTCTCCTTAACGGGACGGCGATGCCCCGGCCATTCCTTCTTTCTCTGTTTGTGCGTATTGGTTGAATGCACCCATTCCGCGGGTCGCTTATATCTGTGCGTCTGTATGTGTTTGTCCTTTTTTATATTTCTGCACCTCGCTAGACGCTGTGCGTGCGTGTGCTGCGGTGGGGGAGTGTGGCGATGGCCGGCCGTGCGCTGTTGGTGTGCGCCCTCTGCGCGCTGTGCTGCGCCGCCGGCGGGGGCTGGGCGGCGGAGTGGGACTACTGCACGGAGCGCGACTGGAGGGGCTTGCGGGCCGTCGCGAAGGACATGAGCGAGGCGGAAATTGCGGCGAAGTACTGCGGCCGCAAGCCGGAGTTTGTGCGGGGGCTGCGGGCGAGTCTGCAGGGCGATGAGGTGGAGGGGGAAGTGTCTGGCCCCGGCGGAGGGGGCGGCGGTGCTTCGAGGGGAGAAGTGTCCGGGCACTCGGCGGAGCTGAGAGGCGCGGGCGGCTCGCAATCGACATCGGGCGAAAAGGCGGCAGCGGCACCGTCGCCGGAATTAAAACCAGGCGTCCGACCGTCGGGTGCCTCTCCGGACGTAAACGGCGTTGCACACCGAAGTGGGGCCTCGCCGGACGGGCCAGACGACGCCGAGACTCCTCTGGAGCAAACAAAGCCACAGGACGGCGTGCAGCAGCCGCCACCACAGGCAGTGCCTTCGACAGGGCTCGACGGCCAAGGAACGGAACAAAAGGGAAAGGACAACACAGACTCGCACTCGCTTGGAGAAGATGATCCGTCAAAGAGTGCCAGCGTCTCAGCAACACAAGAGGTGGAAAACACGCCCATAACGGAGAATGCATCAGGTGGAAACGGCCAACAAGCAAGCGAAATCGTTCTTCCTCAAACTCCTGGTGCTGCTGCGGTGGCGTCGCTACCAGCATCCGACAACTCCGCCGGCACTTCAACAGACGGCACAGGAAAAGCGCCGAAGGCAGGGCAACTAGAAGCAGCGTCGACACTACCAACGCCGCCAGCGCCAGCGCCAACGTCAACTGAAGTGCCAGTGGAAGCAGGGAAGGAGACGACATCCGAGACGGCTCCTTCGAAAGAAACGGGTGTCGAGGAGAGTCTGGTCAGTGATAATAAAGCTGGCGGTGACGAGAAAGCTAAGCCCAAACAGGCTGCGCCGGCCGCAGCTGACACAAGTAATACACCGGGTGGAAGGGCAGTGGATGCAGCTCAACTCACTGCCCGTCCGGGCGGCGGTGGCACTTCAAGCGAACAGACTGGGAAGGAGGCTGGGGCGATTGCCGAGGATTCTGCAGGGCCTGTTGTCGCGGCGGCCCCAGGAGCCCAACAGCAAGGTGTAACTGCCGCTGGCACACCGACGAGCAGCGGCAAGGAGCCGCTTCCAGCAGCAGGGGACACCGCCACTGAGGCCAGCCACGCGGCGACGACGACTGACGGTGGCAGCGGCAGCAGCCCCGCGGCGCAGCCGCAGCCGGGGAGTTCCGTGGGGACAAACGAAGCTGGCCAGCGAGAACAGGAGCAGCCCGCAGCCACCGCACCCAAGCAGCAAACGGAAAAGAGTGGCGAGAGAAGAGGAGAAGCCACACAGCCGGCAGCGGGGGCGGCTGCCCAAGCGGTGACTACCACCAACAATTCGACGAGTGCAGCGAAGGCGGAGCCCGGCGACAGTGACGGCAGCAGCACCGCGGCCGCGCACTCCGCCTCCCCCCTTGCGCTGCTTCTTCTGCTTGCGTGTGCAGCTGCCGCTGCGATGGTGGCCGCGTGAGAGACTGAGTGAAAAGGAGAGGGCTGTGCACACAGCTCGCCCTTCTCTATTTCTTCCTCTCTAGCTGTGTGTGTGTGTGTCCCCCTGCACGGACTCTCTCGCCCTCGCCGCACCCCACGCGGCACACACACACATAATGTGCCCGTATATATACACAACTCCACTCATGCAGGCCCGTTGGTTTTCTTCCTCTTTTGTACCCGACGAGCCGCTGCCGCCCTGCTTGGCTGCATGGGTACAGCACCGTAACTGTTTTCATCCTTTTTTTATGCTTGTTTGTTTTCATTGCTTTCAGTGGGCGACCTCTCTCTCTCTCTCTCTTCC